TTTGGGGCTTGCGGAATTACTGATGCTACTGATGAAGATGATGTTACAGATTAAGATGGAGATGCTCTCTTCAAATACATGGCGGTAACTAAAAATTCACGAGACTAAAACATGTTACTAAACGTACGATGAGATTTAAAATTTAAGAGTATTGGTACCAGTATAGTACCTGCATTTTATTACAAATTAACGCAATTATATTGCAAAGTAACAAGCTGGAACAAGGTATCGATTAGCTTTTAAGGACAATAACATCCTATAGACATAAAAGGGTGATATTTACCAATTTTTTTTTTAATAGTAGCTATAGAATTGTTGTGTCCATTTTAATCTTGAAAACGTCAAAAATAAACAGTATACTCCCGTAAGAACGTTTGTTTTTACATTGATTGCTTCTTTCGGGCTGACAAGTTTGTATTACACGTTCCATTCAGGCCAAACCCCAGTTTTAATCACAAATTTCATAAATCTCAAACTCTGTACATTTTCTAAACACACCGTTTTTCCCATATTTTCTTTCCCATGACCGTAAACATCAATTTTCGGCCCGCAAATAAAACGACAATGAGGCTACAAACTTCCGTTTGCCACAAAATTAATTTTGTTTCTGAATCTGCGTCGAAATTGAGAACTCAGAGAAGAGTTAATTGAAATCTCCACACTTTTGAAATATGGTGTCGTCAGAAAAGTTCAGTAATTATTTGATTTTACCGGTGCCGCGTTGTGAAAATAGGTTTTCTTCCCAATTAGAATATCAGTCGTAGCGATATACAAAAAAAATACTAAATAAGATGAGAAATAATAAAAATTGATTTATTTACGACTTATATAGAATGTAAAAAAAAGGAACTCATGTGAAGTAGAGCTGGCTTTGAGATCGATTCTTCAGAATGAAACTAAATATTACGAACTTAAAGCAAGTTTATAGGGTGATGTTGACAATAATTAATAGGTAGCAATTTTTATTTTTTAAGACCGTACATAGTTCAAGAGAAAGTAAAAAAATTAAACAAGTTAGGCGCTTTTTACCATATGGCCTTTTTAAAATTTTTGATTCTAAACTTATTTCTAACATCAGAAAATGCGGCATTTTCCATTCAAAGTGCTTTGATTATCAGTTACTGCTACCTGGTATATTCCAAATGATATCACATAAAAATATTTTTAGTCTCCAGATGAGCTAGAAGAATGCAAGTGCTCATCCAAAGGAATTGACGATAATAGAGTTACTAAAGAAAAATTATTTTCTGAAACTTTCTTATATACCATGGTGCTGTGATTATAAACAATCCTTAGTGCTATGAATATTAAATATACTGTATTTCAGAAAAGTTTCTATTATGTATCTGAGCCTAAAAATTTGTTTGATGTCCTCTTCTCATAAATATATTTCTGTTTAATTAAACTTTTCTCATATTTTTTTTATTTTGTAAAATATGCTCTAAAAATTATTGACAGCATACCTAAAGCATCCTGTATATAGAATTGCTAATGTTAGATACTACGGCATTGTAAAATGTCGTCAATTCAACTACTTATTGTCTTCTTAAAGACATATTGTAATACTTCATTGGTAGTTAATTAAAAAAAAGTATTGTTTTCAATTTTTCTGAGAAATATAATATTTTCATATTGTTTATAACTGCCTTTTATTAGCGTATCTAGAATTCATTTAAGGGTTTACATCGCATTAATCTTCTAGAATATTCATAAAGTCATTTATATCTTATCACACAAATCCCGTTTAAATATAAGTGTAAACGCAGTTTTGACTGATACCACTCAGACTACCAGAATTTCGGTTGCTTATTATTTTGAAATTTCTTGATTGGGTTTTATTTTCGAATTTTACGACAATAATTAATATGCAACGCCACAATGACCTTCTAAGGGCGGACCAAAAAAAATTGGTTTAATAGTCATTAATAGTCATTGTTAGTTCATGAGTAAGTTTTTAAGTCATCGTTCTGTGTACATAATTTTGCTTACTTCATGGTATCTGGTATATAACATTTTCTTTTACACCCTGTATATGGGACAAATATAATTAATTAATTAATTTTTTCAACTCGTATAATATGAAAAACTCCAGACATTTAATATTCTTTTAAATCGAAGATATTTTAATTTATTCTTCTTATTTAATTTAAATATATGTATTCATTTTACAAAAATGTTTTATCTTGCTTTTAATTAGGTAAAATATAGTTCTGGATCAAATTGAACTTTACAACATATTATTAAACATATTTATAATTATACAGACATAAATAATAATTACTACGCAGTATAGTAAAAAAAAACAAATATGAATGGAAAATTATTTGCATTTTTGTATTAAAACTTATAGGGTATTTCTTTATAGCGTAACCTTTATTTATCAGTTTATATGACTTTATATAATTCCATTTTCCACATTAAAGGTATTTTAATGAGTTTATAAAAAAAAAGTGGCAGTTACCGTGAAATCCCTGACTGTAGGCCACGTGGACCCGACTCCATAAAGGCCAAGATCATTCATTCAGATTGTGGGTGTACTAACTGGATATATATAAAGGGTCATTATGTTGTATTACGACAAACGAGCTTATACAGGGCAATTCAGAAGGCTATACGCTTCACACAACTTATATTTGTTGTGGTATAACTGGCTAAAAAATTAAATTTCCAAACGAATACATTTTTAAATGTTCCCGCCATTCATGAGTGGATACTCATAACAGTATTAATTGACTAGAATGTCATCTCCAAATGGCTTTCAAAACAATCGCCCAAAAAATTTTTGTTGAACAAAAATTATACATTGAATTACACATCTCACTAGGTTGTCTTTTATATTATGTATCAAGGTATGAAGCTATACAGCATTTGCCATCGAACATCTTCCAATAATCTCTTTGCACAAGTGCGTGTGAAAACTACAGAGAGCAAGCAGGCAAGGAACAATACCGGCAATGCCAGCCTATACGACCTGGCCAAGGTTTCAACGCGGTCGTCGTATACATGTCAACGTTGACACCATTGCTTTTCCGTTCGCTCTAATTCAACTCTCTGTAGGGTTCACTTGTATTTGTGCATCGCGTATTGGTATACGTTTATAGTGACCGACACTGTATATTCATTTATATCACTCGGTTTTCATAAATTATAAGAATAATTTGAAAATGTTTGCTTTGGCTAGAACTTATTAGTATCTCTCTGATATTTTAACTTAGGCCAAAATTATTAATTCAGATTAATACGTTCATAATCTAAACATCCTACAAAACCAAACATTAAAGCTGCTGAAATAAATGCATTGAGAAGTATAAGATATTTTTCTTACGATAAAAAGGATTTAACAACCAAAATGCCTGGTCAATTTAATCAGAAATAAAAATGTACAGAAGAATGGATTTTATCCTAAATCTACAAAAAAAAGCGTCTTTTTTTTCAACCGTTCATTTGGGCCAATATTTTTACATGATAAAATTTATACTTAATGTGGTTGTAGCGTTTCTGAATCCAGAACAAAAATCGTGAGATATTTTCGCCTGAATATAAGCTTGATGGGACGCAATCATTAATTTAACATGTCATGAGTTAAAAGAATCCATTATCTCCCTGTATACCGACACCAGATCTTTGATAATACTCGTCTATGTTATATCACTATTAGCATAACTGAAAGCTCTTTCATTCAAGAGAAAAAAGTGTTATCTGATTCCGGAGATTTGTGAAATCGTTTTTTTTATGACATGAGGAGTGTTTTCTCTAATTGGAAACTTGCTTTTGAAGAGTTACAAGTAGGCGTTATATTTTAAAAGCCACTGGAAATTTGAGAATATAATTTATACAAGCTGTGAATTTTATTTAATTCGCTAGTCTCTTATCTATCTGAAGTCTTCTTCTAACAATTGTTAGCTATTAAGAAACTGAAAACTTTGTGTGCAAACAAAGAACAGGAACATTTTAATACGGTGTAAACTAATAAACTGGCGCAGTCGGAATTTTAATAGGATCACTCAGCATTTCTTGTTTTCCTCGTGAAAAACAAATGACAAGAAGAATATTCTAGTAGGCAGCAAATTAACGCTCCCTGAATTTTAGTAGGATCACTTAGCGTTTAATACGTATCAAGTTGAATGTTTCTAAGCTTGCTTCGATTCCTCTAAGGACGGCAATTCATCACATTTCGACCTTACCGCCTTAATTGGCAAAATTTTGAAACTTTGTTAATTTAGTTTTAGTTTCCGAAGTGGATGCTTCAAATGAACAATTCCCCCTAGCGACCCCAAGAAATGTCAATGGGGATAGTGAAACCGTGTCAACAATATGACATTTAGAAACTAATAATATAAAATTTTTGAATATATAGTAAAAATTAATTTTAATTTTAATTATGTAATTTTAAATTGAACAATTTATTCTGTACAGCCTATTAAGTCAAACCTAAATGTAAATATTTTAATAAATTTCGTTATCTGAAAATTAATTTTGGCGTCCTCAAAATAATTTAAAACTTTTTTTTTTAATAATTGAATATAAATTGATATGTAGTTATTAACTTTTCAAACTTTGCACGCATTAAGTAAATTTATAGTGGTCTAGCCAAGCATTAACGGTGTTTAAATACTTATTAAAGCCCAAACTATAAGAAACTGGCGCAGTATAGTAGGATATCTTAACTCATAAGAGCATTTGGCTTAGCTCAACTTTAATCCCTAATTATAGTAAACATCGAAAGTTCAGTATGCAAAGTTGTCGCCGAGAAAGCAAGAGTTTGAAAATTTTTATTCCCGTCAAGAATAATATCCAAAATTTCATTAAAATAAAATCTCCCACATTTCGGATGCCAAGATCTATATAAATATTAACCATGGCGTATACTAAATACTAAGCAAACTATGATTAACTTGGCGCTGTCAGCAGAATGTTTAAACTTGTAAGAGCATTTGACAAAGCTCAGAGCGCTATTCATCAACTTTAACCGCTAATTATGACAAGAACTATAAACTTACTTTGCAAAGTTGTCGCTGTAGAGGTGAGCAGTCCTTGTAGAGACCGAGAGTTGTGACGTAACAGGGCAGCAAAATCCCTTTGGCCCTGTTTCCTTAATAGGGTCTCTGTCCTGTCGTCGCAACATTGTCCTCCGCAGATGGCACCTGCAAAAATACGGAAATGCACAGTTAGAATTGGATTTGCATCTCAAAGGAGTCTTTCGGGAAGTTTTGGAGAGATGCGGAAGTTTTTAGTGAAGTGGAGATGAAATCGTAATGGGGTGGCTATTGATAATTTTATTCGTAATGTTGATTTATCTGTGTCGTAAAGTTATGAGGTGGCTTTAGTATGCATAATGGTTATTTTATTGATACAAGGGAGTTTTAACGCCTGTTTATTCTACTGTTTATAATAATAGTGTGAACATCGGGTTTTAAAGTTCCTGATTATTAATTAAAAAATATTTTTTTCAATATAGCTCTTTTAGAAAAAGTAAATATTGTTCGACATAAAAATGTATAGTTTAAATATATATTTCACTGTAGTATTTATCTTTCTAGACATAGATAAACAAAATAAAAATAGCCGAAAGCGAAGTACCTTGATCTCAAATCTAATTAGCTCATTGCTGTTTAATTTATATACAAAAAGTAGGTATTTCGACCTTAGGCATCCCTAATTAACCCTTTTTCAACGAAAAATAGAACTCGAAACTTTCTCAAAGCCAACAGTAATAACCATTAATCACTAAACTTCTTTGCGAGCAAGAAAAAAACTTCAAAATATTTTCACTGGCTCGTCCGTCTTATTCCGTTCGAATAAATCTTTTCAATTTCTGGAAAACTTCCTACTTTTATAATTACGAACCTGTCATGAATTTTCTCTACTGAATATTCGTTCTTTGGTCTTCCATTTATTCTGTTTTTTTTTATATATAGCAGGCAGGACTGGCTTTTTGTAGAAAAATATAAATAACTCTTATTAGATTAGAATAATCGAAAAAGTCCTTTGTGCGATTTTCTTGAAAATAAAATTCATATTTGAGAATATTGAACCTGAAAACAAAACAGAAATAATATCGATGCTTATGTCTGCTATACAGGGTGTCCGGGAAAATGTTGGAGGTCTCTCGGATTCAGATAGAAATTTAAAAAATAAAATGACAAGTTCCCATAATTTTTTTTCCTAGAGGCCTTCCCTACGGAGATACCGCCTCCAAAAAAAAAAAAAAATACCACTGGAAATAATTTTTTCTTGAATAACTTTCAAACTACGTAATGTAATTTAATGAAAATTTAACATGATAAAGAGAAGTAAGAACCTCTTAAAATACTGCGCTTAAAACACAATTAGCTTGTTTAGTTTACTAGGGGCGGACTAGGTTGTACATTTTAATGCTTACATTTTTAACACCCTGTAAAAAAATTAATGTAGCTTTATTTTAAACTGTACTATTCATAAATCGTAATCGTTAATTTTAACAGCAAAATGTCGTAGATAATAAAATATATCTGCAGTCACAAAATCCAATCAAAAAAAAATAATGATAATAGAGACTTTAAAATAAAATTTCTTAAAACAATAGTATTTTAGTTGTGGCAGTATTTGATTGAACCATCGATATATTATAAATAGGAGCCCTCTTTTCTTACAAATAGTTAAAATAGCGGTTACTGAAGTCTTGGTGAAAACAAGTATTTCTATATCAACGTTCATTTTAGTATTAAATAAAGTTGTTAATAATAATTGGCGCAGTTAGTAGGATCCAGTGAGTTAAAATCAAAAAAACTAGTGCTTTTCACGTTTAGTCTTAATTATTCACCTGGAACAGAACCAAAAGTAAGTTTTGAGATTTTTTTCTTCCATTTCTTACCTGTATAACAAACATTTTATACTTTTCAAGTGAATTTAAACAAGTGACATTAATGGTATATAATAAAATTCTTTCGAAAATAGGAGAGAGTTGAATATCCTTAAAAAACATTATATTATTAGTAATATTAGTAGTATTATTATTATTATTATTATTATTATTATTATTATTATTATTATTATTATTATTATTATTATTATTATTTTGAATTGTTATCCATTTATAACCACCTATTTTTTAAAAGATTTTAACTCGAACCATCCCTGGTTATATTACTTTTTCAAGCGAACAATTAATCTTGGATAATAGGAAATCCTCCGCGAATAAATCAATATATCAATGAACTTCGCAGATACAAAGATTCAATTTTTTTTTCATTGATTCAGCTTTTCCGAGGACCTGGCCGGAAAAATAATCTTTCTTCTTTATATCGGAATCTCTAGGAGAGATCTGACTGACGGGGTGGAACAATGGAGTCGGGAAAGTAATTTTTTCTGGCGACTTGGCAGTAATTTCTAAGGAGTTTTTGGATTACAACTGCTATCGGTAGATTTATTGTATTAGAGAACGTAGAAACCACTATAGGTATTTTTTTTTTTTAATAATGTCTCGTTCAACTAACCAGACTGCACTTTATTCACAAGAATTGTAATTACTAGGAATTAGAATTATCATCATTCTATATATTGATTATGTGATATTATTTGTTATCAACGTGGAAAACAAAAAAAAGAAGCAAAGAAAAGCAAAAAACGAGAAGGACAAATAAAAATTGTAATTTTTGAAAAACCTATTGACCAGGTGTAGAACTTAAGAAAAATAATGTTTAATATGTTCTTTTTCTGGACTCGTCTCGCTTAGTCTCCGACAATACTGAATAGCCTATTGTATTTGACTCATAGTACTCACTCTGTCACCTTAATCGCTTTTGCAAGTCCTTGGCAGGGTGTGTTCTATAGGTTCTTCGATTAACCTGTGGTTGCCCAAAAAGTGTATGTCTTTTGCGATCCAATGCCTCAAAGTTACACAGTACAAGGATTAAAGAAAACAATAAACCCTTTATTATCCTACGTTTGAAAATCTCAGAACTAAATGCACTCAATTAAGATACTCGTTAAAAAAAAAAACAACGTAAAAATGGCGCAATCAAAAGGATAATTTTCCATACGATTCAAACTGTAAAAAACGGACTTGTTTTCAGTCGCGTGTATTTTTCGAATATAAGTGGAAAATTTAATATCATGCCTATGTTCCCGCAAATATGCCGACGTTTGAGTGTCAGCGACGAAATCAAAGCCAGACCAAAGGAAATGTGATTATTTACCTACATTTTCCGACCCTTGAACTGATTGTTTTTTGCGTTTTACATCGCCTTGCAGGACCGTCGTATGAGCTTTTTTTTGTATAGAAAAATATTTTTAGTCTATAGTTTTCTATTGTATATAATATTTTAATTCCCATACATAAAAAAATTACTTTATTAACATATAGAGGGCGCACTGACAACTAGAAAAAGAAAGATTTTTAAAAGTCAATAGGTACTAATTACCGGTTGTACCTCCTCGAGCATAGCGAGTAGATTTTTTGGTCACGTGACATTGAGTAAACCATATTAATGGAGCAAACGGAGATTGGATATATTAAAATAACGGTATCAAATAAAGAAAGCAAAAAGAGATATTTTTCAAACGCCGTAATTATAATACTTTCATTATAGATCATCAAATTTAAGAATGTCGATGTTTATAAATAATTTAAATAACAAACCAACTCTGTTCTTTTCACCTCTTTTCACTCGCATTTTTGTCATTGCTTTTTATTGTTTTATTGTTTTCCGAAATCCAACGGTCAAATTCGTCGTCCTTTGTGAATAGATCAAAATAATCCTGTTTATGTCGTATATGACAGATGTGTTCCGAATTTGTTAATCGTTTTTTTTTTTAATATAATACAAAAGAAAATTCCGCTTCATGTTCGATATGAATGAGGTGAGGATTATTTCCTATTGATGACCATTGTTTTTGGTGTTTTTAACCGAGTCGTTCAATATTAATTTTGTTCCTCTGAAATAGCTGTTTTAATTAAATTGGTCGCAAATTTCGTGTAATTAAATTGTTCATCCGATGATGATATTAATCTTAGCTCACTAATAATTCGAGGTAGGAACTTGATCGCTACTATATTTCTCGAAGGACCGACAAGGATGCAGACATTTAAATGTAGTGGCTTGTTAATAAAAATGATTACCCTTCGCTATCAAAAAAAACTCGCAATTTATTGGGTACTCCGGCCACATCAGTCCCTACCGAGATACTGTTTTCAAAAGCTAGCCTCACCTTAAGAAAACATCGAAGCCAGTTAGTTAACAGCTGATTCGGCCTGATTTATTATATACCTCAATTCTTGGATTACCTCAAATTTATTATATTTTTAATAAAAATTATTTAAACAAATTAATATGTTAATCGATATTCTAACGTATCTATTTGAAAGAAATATGATCTCGGCAAGATTCGAGATCGAGATTGCCCAGTCGAAATCGAGATATTACGAGAACGAGATTACACATTCTGTTAGTCAGCAAAGCTCTTATCAGCTTTTGATTGTGTCATTAATATCCGTTACTTTTTACTTTTTTTTGATCAATGATACGACATGCATTTGTCATTTCATAGATAACAATTAAATACATGTTAATGAATTCCTATTCGCTCCGTCGCGTCGACAAGTTGCGATTACTCAATCCTCAGTTGAATGTACCTCATCCATCAAAGCGGGATCCATTACCTCGGGGCGGATGATAATGCAACGTTGGCAAGCATGCTTGTGCTCTCCTGTCGTCGTAGACTCAACGCTCACCACCACTCATTATGAATTACCAATGCGTCGAGAGTACATAACAGATATGCATATCGCAGTTGGCCATTATTAGCCCGTAATGGCCTTCCCTTGATCGACCATCTTGTCACCGCGGAACTCCTAATGGTCTGTAGTGACTGGCAACAGGAATTTACTTGGTTACCGGATGCTATTGTGTGCTCAATTGAAAACTCATGAACTGATCAAATACAATTTACATAAACTACAACGAAGAACAGTTTTATACTAATTTGAAAATGATAATTTTGGTTTTGTTTTAAGTTTGTCACTATTATCAGATTATAACATGTTTATTAAAATTATTATACCATAAAAATGTCTGATTAAATAAGGAAGAAATCAAGTTGACAAACGGTATCTCAGTTTTTTTTCGCAGCCGCATTCCGCGTTGCAGAAAAGTTGCACGTCTGG